CTTGGCTAATGCAAGTTATTGGCAGTCTGGCCCAATTAATGACTTATTGACTTTTGCTATCGGCATCGTCAATGCAATATAATAGATAGTATCATAGATGGACAGATTTCAGGCCATCAAAAACACACAGCAAACAAACCAGAAATGAAATGCTTTATTGTCGTTAAAACAATCTTTATCTCAATGGGTTCGGATTCCACTATAAAAACTGTACTGTAAGTCCCTTAATTGCCTTTAGCTTTATTTATGGGCTATTAATTAACAGCTGTGTCTAAGGAATATGTCGCGGCCTTAAGAATCAAGAATTTTTATTCATCGTGAAGCGCTATGTACATTACATGCAATGGATGAACGTAATTAAACTAACAATAGCCTAAAGTTTACAGGAAATATAAGAGCAAACGTAATATAAACAAGTGCAGTGTATACATGCAAAGTATCACCATAGTATGTTTTATCTATGGTATCACTGTGACAGTCATCTTAAAAATTAAAGACTAGGTTATAAAACATGCAAAGACTAGAGCAAACATGAAAACAGGTGCACTGTGTATACAATGCATGCAGTGTGTTTTATAATAAATTAGTAAAAACATAGCAGGGGTAAGAAAAGAATATAAAATTTTAAATACAATACTTACAAACAGACAGATAAATACTTATAAAACAACCCAGCCGTTGGCTATATCACAGACAGTCAGAAATTAAAATTGAATAGTTACTAGCAGACAAGATCGTGCCACTCATCCTACACTCATCTCCATTCATACTTGGCTTGCTTAAAATACCTGTCCTGTATCGTCGCAATTTCATTGAAAAGTATTAAAGTATGTTCATTGTTCACGTTGTCTTCTCCACGGTCATCGATCGGGGAATCGTCAAATTCTTTCTTCATGCAGTAGGCCTACTATGAGTATTATTTTGTTATGATATGGTTTACCTTGAAAGTATTTTTTTTAGTGATTTAACAAAATGTTTAGTGTCAGTTGTTGATATAAGGTTGTTTGGTAGAATATTGAAAAAGCCTAATTCCCATGATTTGTGGGGTTGAACTAGTTTTTTGGAGCCTATTTATTGTTGGAAGATTTGATTTGTTTCTGAGATTATATTTCTGACACTCGTGTCTTAAAGTATTTGGTTTGTTTTTAATAAACCTTTCTGTGAAAAAGTGATCTTGGTAGTGTGCTTCGTCTATGTTTCTCAAAACCTTTTGTTGCAGTACAGTATTAGAATTTTCTTTAGTGGTGATTGGTCTGTGGATCCCAGGTTATCATTCCGAAATTTATGTGAGTTGCAAAAAGAGTGTGATATACCGTTATTGTTATCGATTTGTTTGTCATTTTTCGCATTCTTCTCAATGCAAATTCTTCTTAATCAATGGGTGGCCTCCAGTTTTTTTTTTCGTTTGCAATAAGTTATTAGTCAGAATGTAAACGCTAGTCCTTTACAATAATTAGGAAAAACCATAAAATATAGTAGCCTAAGTGAACTAGAAATACAACAGTAGTCCAGTACTATATGCTCTGTGTTCAGTTGCGTCTTCCCATTACAATAATCCTATCTATTACAAAAGTCCAACCAAACCAAACCACACCAGTCTCAATCACGGATTACTTTACTCCTCTCATTATGCGCATGCGTGAATGAACTGTTATTCGCGATGACATACCTTTGGAGCTGGGACAAATATCGTATACCTGTTGCAGCGTTATCAATGGATTAAATAAGACACAGGACAGTTACTTTCTTGTTCTTGCTCTTCCGTCGTTTTGGTTATTTCCCATTGCTGACCCGGGTCCGATTTAATTTTCGTTTTTATGACCCCGTAGGCCATATAAACACCATGAGTTTATAATCGTATATATTTCTTTCTTAGATGTTGAGGTTTTTATTGACAATCACCAGGCTTAAACCTAAAACAAAAATTTGTTAAAAGAAACTAACAAATTGCAGAACGTACTTACATTGTCACCGCATGTATATGAACGAATGTATTTTAAAAACCTTATCAATTATCAATTCGTACAAAAACACTCTGCAGTGAAAAATCTGATTTTGAAAAATATACATATCACTAAATTGAGATCTGTTTTCCTCGAAAGAGAAGTGGCCATCCTCAAAAACTATCCAATCAGGTAAAAAACCCAAAAAAACTCAATCAAGATAAAAGTTGTTCAAGTGATCTCAAATTACAGTACTCAATATTATCCTAATCCTGGGCTTCAATTCAAAAGATTAACAGTTGTAATGAGAGTAGCATTCAATATTTTGATATCTTCCCATTTATTTTCCCGACCACCACGTTTTATTTTTAAATGGCCACAAAATTAAAAAAGAATATTGTTGAGACCCAATATTCAAATTTCTTGGCCTACATGAAGACAAAAAATCTAATCGTTGGGGACCATGGAGATGACCGATGTGCCGCATATTTGCATATATCAAAAATAGCAAGGGACCGAGGACGCTTTTTAATCAGTAATAAAATAAAATTATGAATGCCTCAAATTCAATTTTATAATCATAAAATTAAACTGTCATAACCTAACCAAACTTGCTGATAATGAAAAAATCTAATGAAGGTTTACCAACCGAAAAAATAGTTCTGTTCGTAAAATCATACTAATATTATAAACTAGCTGTAACCCGCGGGCTTTGCCCCGTTCAACTTCTTAATTTTCAAGATGATCTCGTTCACATATGGCTCAATCACGTCCTGACGTCCTGGTTGAAGTTCGTTCGCTACGCTCACTCACTTTTAGGTTAGAGCTCGTTCGCTGCGCTCACTTGCCTTCAAGGTTAGCTCGTTCGCTACGCTAACTCGCCTCCAGGTTGAAGTTCGTTCTCTACGCTCACTTTTAAGTATATGGTTTATGGGGGTGTGACTTAAAGTTGTCTTCAGCTGTTCCATAAGGATGAGAAATCTACTAAGGGAGTATGTTTTATTTATGCTAGTAGCCTAGGTCTTACCATGCCATGCCACCTATGGTAATAGATATTTCCCTATAGAGAAATTCGCTAAAATGTACTTTAAATTTTACAATTAATTAAGTACCGGTAGGTAAATTTACTTACCTCAAAACCCTGTCGTCCTGTAATCCAACTACTAAGAGGTTACGAATTGTGGATATTTATAGGCATGCACTGTGGATGCGATACTCTCTGGTGTGGATTAACGTTCGCACTAGTGAGTACTACGACTATCCTATGATTTACTGTATTTTTCAGTACTATCCTGATGATTAGACCAATTCGTATACCAAGGCAAAAATGTGGTTCGGATTCCACTATAAAACTTTAGGTCCCTTAGTTGCCATTAGCTGTATGGGCTATTAATTAACAGCCGTGTCTAAGGAATATGTCGGCCTTAGTCACTAACAAGACTACAAGATCGCGCCACTCATCATACACTCATCTCCATTAATACTTGGCTTAAAATACCTACTTTGTATGGTCGCCATTTCATCGAAAAGTATAAAAGTACCCATAGTTCATCGGTTCATCGGATAGTTCAAAGTTCATCGGTGAACCCATTCCGATTAAATTTAACAGTCGGTGAGGAGGTAATCTTCTTCAAACCATCGGACCATTCATAGACCTAAGACATGGACTAAGTAAAGGAGATAAATTTATACCTCAAATCCCACAGTTCTTCATCGGATCAAAGGTGAACCCATTCCGATTTAATTCGATTTAATTGAAACAGTCGGAAAGGTCTTCTTCAAACAATTGGACCAAAGACCTGTTTGTATCACTGCTTACTACTAGCATCTACTAGTAGCATTGACTATATCGTTTTCTCTAAATGGTATCCCGTTCCATCGAACGTTTCATAGCCACGGAACAGTCTGTTTGCGCATGCGCATTGAGAGGAGTAGTCTGTGATTGAGACGGATGTAACCAGCCAGGCAGCCCAACATTCCAATTTCATTTCATTCTTTCAATTCAATCATTTTCATTTCAATTCATTCGTTGCACCCAGCAGCCCTCAAGTCAAGTCAGGTATTTACTCAGGGGAGGTATAGAAGAGGCTACGATGACAGCTGAGGGCTTCTTATTAGCTGAGGGAACGCCATTACAATAACCATAGACTAACCAACACAAGTAGACTTATCATCCCATTGTAAATTTTGAAGCACGTTTTTCGTGTCTAGTTCATGTACGTGACACATGGGCGCTAGTGTCGACGAAACTTTGTTTCTATTATTTTAGGGTTAATTTCTTGATTTGTGCTTTACTGTCTGGTTATATAACTAGGGGACAGGTTATTGTTTATGATTAGATCGTATTATTTGGTTAAACGAGGTTTTAAATGGCTGTAATAACGGGAAACAGATTGTAAACAAAACACGACCTCTACAGAAAACCGTACAGAACTAACAATAAAATTGTCTTCAGCTGTTCCATAAGGATGAGAAATCTACTAAGGGAGTATGTTTTATCTATGCCGTAACAAAACGATCAGCAGTCATCGGCCTCGGTGGTCAAATGGATAGCGTGCCGGGCTGATATGCTGAATGTCCCGGGTTCAAATCCCCCTAAAAGCGTTAACTTTTTATCCAAGATTTTTTTTTTATTATCAGCAAGTTTGGTTGGTTTGGTTCGGTTATGACAGTTCAATTTTATTTAAGTCATTATAACATTTTAATTGAGCAATTTCTAGTTTTATTTAATAAACAGAATTATTTTTTCGATTACTAAACTTTTGTTATATTATTTCATTATCAGCAAGTTTGGTTAGTTCGGTTAGGTTATTATAGTTTAATTTTATAATTACAAATTAATAAAATTGAATTTGAGGCATTTATAATTTTATTTTATGAACAGAACTATTTTTGCGATTAGTCCAAAATACTTTCTACTACAGCGCTGTTTACGGAGGAATTTTGAACTAATGGCTCATTCGTACCTCCCCTAAGTCAGACCCGTCAAGTCAAGGAGCAGGTGCTGCCCTCTGCTTTACTGCTGGCTGCTGCTGTCCCTGCTGTGTGCTGTGTGCTGTGCTGTGTGCTGCTTCTTCGTTTGTGGTGAAAGTAATTGTGTCGTGTGTCGGTAACAAATTGAAATTATTGTCGCAACATAACATTGTAATTTCGTTATTTAGGCTATTACCATTGTCAATCTCAGTATTTGTGCTCTAAAAGTTTTTAAGGTATGTATCTGTGGACGGATTCAAAAATAGAAAATGCTCTTTGATAGGCCTAATCATAAGCCTACCTAGCTGATAATTTTTGGGTCAAACGCTGGCGTCCAATATTGGCAGATCCGATTGGGTAAAAAGTGAATATGATTCCAAAGCCCCGTATTAACTTAGCTTGTAATGTGTAATGTACCTATCATTAAGGATGAGAATGGTTTAACTTAGCCTAGGCTTACGTCTAGCCTACAAAGTCAAACGTTGATGAACCGAGGGTATTTATTTCATAAGGCGCGTTTATTATACTGCAGTTTGTTACTAAAAAGTTTGCAACTTTCAAAGAAAGTTCGAAATGAAAAAAAAATACGAAGTGTAGATCTTTTGCAAACTTAAGCTAGCCTAACCTTAGCAGTGGTCAACAATCGTCATATGCTCGTTGGCCAAGATGCCTACACTTAATGGCCACTATCGTAACGGGCCAAAGTGTTTGTAACTGTAAAATACCACTAGCCTAATACCCGATCAACTCGGAAGCGAACAATACTTAACTTATACCATACTAGGTACCATTCGATAGATCACATTCTGAACTTAAATTTTATTACACCAATTAGGCCTAACTGTTGAGTTGTATAGCAATGTCAACACCAATTAGGCCTAACTGTTTACAAGTTGTAAAATGTCACAAACAGTTATTTTTTTTTATTTATTTATTCCAACGGTTTCTCCATTAATACAATTTTGTTAAACTATGAACTATACATAAGTAGTAAATAATAAGTTACTAGTGATGTGTGTATCAATACAAGGACCGCAAAATATCGATATTTTGTATCGATGCGTGGGAGTGTATCGATATGCACGCATCGATACACCTATAGCCAGTTATAATTAACTTACAATGACATTTTGCCGCTACGCCATTCCTGCAGTCAACGCTCGGAAAATGTAAAAACACTTAGACCTACCCAAAAACAGCTGTTTTTGGAATTTAAACAAATGGAAGAAATCAAGCTTTTGAGAGTGGCAGCCCTTTGATCAGGGTTATTTCCGTTTGCTCTCAGGAAGACGACAAAAGTGTGTCACTAACTTAACTGTCTAGGTCTCATACACAAAGTGCTTTGTATTCGCCAGTGCGTGTTGTTGTTGTCAGTGAGTTTTCACTCGCTCGTGTTATCCGCGATTTGTTACTAAATTTGTTATTATTTCGTTCAGCAAAGTTAGAGAAATATGTGTGTACATATATGTAACAGTAATCTTAATGCATTTTATTATGCATGAATATATCTGAATAGTGTGTAATAGTGTTTTTAAAAGGTTGTACTTTTCTTGTGGTTGTATTTTATCGATTTCCGTTTATTATAGGCCTATTATTATGCCCCTAATACGTAAAAAAAAATTGTTACCCAACGTGTTATACATTTTGGGTAGCCTACACTTTCATATCTGTTGGCACAAACAACGGAATGAAAATATCAATTGATTATTTGATAGCCTATATCGTTTGGTTAGTTAGGTAAGGTTAAAACCTAACCTAACTAACCAAACTATATATCGAAGTAAACAATGGAATCTATATATATAATACGCTAAGCCGATTTTTGTAAACAGAACTCCTCCCACATTTTTGGACCGATTTTGGTGATTAAAATGTCAAAACAATGGCCCTGATCTGTAGTTTAGCAAAGTGTTTTTCGTTTTTTTATATCTTTATTAGTTTGGGCAGGATCTTCCATCAAAGTTGGGTTTGATCCCATAAGATTAACATTGGGGAATCTAAATATTTAATTGGAAACTTTGTCTCCACTAATTTGAGAGAACGGCTGGGCGTAGAAACTTGATAGAGGTGTCAAAAGAAAGGTCTTGGTCTGTAGATGAGTTATCAAAAGATAAACGAAGTAAATTCGCTTAGGGCTCTGCCCCAGAAGCCTTTAAAGATCGACAGCTTTGTTTACATTTTGGCCATACAGTATAATACTTTTTAACGAAACAGCTGTTAATTTTTAAATTGTGTTTTAAACAATACACATTTATTGAGAGTTACTGAGTAGTCCAGAAGAAGTATTTGCAATTTTATTTTCTGTTTTTAAAATTGATTTTCTTCTTTATCAGGTCATACTTTGCAATATAACGTTTCATTACGAAATCAGTGGAAATTCCTTTTATCACAGAACTCTTATTCTTCTTATTGAACTATCTAATATCTGTGTACGGGTTGTTGTCTGCCTTTTTCACCACTTTTGCCTATATTTTATCATACTATTCTACAGATTATCATAGGTTCATGAGATTATTGTCATATACATGTTTTCAATCATTGGAAAAATAGTCGAATGTGTAATACAATAAAAAAATAATACAAGTGCAGAAGGGCACGTTGCCCAAATGAGCCGTGTCCATATTTTGTTAAATTAATAGTAGTTTACAGCAACTGGATAAAACATGTTACAATATTTATGTAGAAATATGTGCACGATTTAGAAAGTCATTAAGCTGTAAATCTGCAATTTACTACAGACTTTTGAGAGAGGTTGCTATAAAGTATTCATTCATCATAGTGAACACATAATATAGATATGTATACAAATAAGAAATTGAACTCTTAGAGAGCCTTTTAATGTTATTAGAATAATTAAATGGGTTGTACATGTTTATTAGCGCTACTCAGCAACAAAAACCATTTAATTTATCTCTAAAATATATATTCTTAAAGTGCACTGAGCAGTAGCCTAAAAAATACTATGTAACTTACCCAGTTACAAAATGATTGAACTCGTCTAGTACCAATTATCATTCGGCTTATATTTCTCCAGCAGATTATTTATCTGCAGAAGAAGTATATTGTGCTCTTATCATGTCTAATAACATCCAAAGACAGAAACCTTGCCTAAAATGGTACCCATCTTGAGAAATTATTTGCAGTATCCTATATTACGGACCGCAGCCCACTGGGTTGTTAACATGATTGAAAATAACACGACATTTCGGCTATAAAAAAGGCATAAAGAGTAAATACTATTTAAGCAACTACTTAAAGTATATTCCACTAAACCTAACTTTCCGTAGATGAATTAGCGTAAGCCTTGAGAGTAACCGTCGATTTCGACGGGTTTCACCTAGTAATCAATATTACTCATTCGGTTGTTTGTGTGCCAGGTATGGAAGTGTACCCTACATTTTTAACTTAGCCTATGTAAGGTACGGTACGGTAACTTAATTGAATAAATTACACTAACTTAACTTAGGCCTACAAGATGATTAAATAACTTACGGTATGTCAAGAATCAAGAATCAAGATCTTTATTGTCATTGACCTTTTACAAGGAATAGACATAGTCAACAATAGAATTAAAACTAAAGCTATAAAATACAGTGGGTTCTAAATTAAAAATTAATATTAACATCAGAAACTAAGTACTCTGTTATACAGTAATATGGATTTTGGATGAGCCACTCAAACATTTTAGACTTAAACCTATTAAAAGGAACCTGTTTTGCTGCCAGACCTAATTTATTAAAAAACCGTATGCAATTTATTTTATGGCAGTTATCTGTTTTGGCCAATCTATGAGCAGGGATATCTAGATTGGATTTGCCTCTTGTATTGTAAGAGTGTATACTCTCTCTACAAGTGAATTGATGAAGATTGGCTTTAGTGTAGAGGAGTATGTGAAAAATATACAAATTTACAACAGTCATAATTTTAAGGTCTATAAAAAGAAGTCGACAGCTATCCACAGGGCCAGCCCCACAAATTGTTCGTATGACTTTTTTTTGTAATAAAAGAATTTCATGGGTGTGGGGGGAGTGTCCCCATAGTATAATCCCGTAAGAAATATGTGATTGAAAAAAACCAAAATAAGTAATCCGAAGGTATTCATTACTAACAAAATCTCTGAGTTTCCAAATTAGATAATTTACTCTGGAAATTTTTTTACAAGTGATTTCTATGTGCTCTTGCCAATTTAATTTTGAATCAATTTGGAAGCCTTATAATTTTACAGATTTTAATTCATTGTCAAGTGGGGATAGACTCAAAAGAATTTTCTGTGTTTTTTCTTGATTACATGTCAATTTATTTGAAGAAAACCAATTTAGTGCTGATGTTAATGATTCATTAGTAATTAAATCAAGCTCATGGATATCTCTATTTGTTGCAATCAAAGTTGTGTCATCAGCATATATACAACAGTGTCTACATCAACATTCCTTGGCAGGTCATTTATCGAGATTAAAAACAAGAAGGGTCCCAAAACCGAGCCCTGTGGAACACCTACTTCAACCAATCTTAAGTTAGACTGACTGCCTCCAACAGATACATACTGCTTTCTATTAGTTAAATAGGATTTTAAAATTTTTAAAGTTTCACCTGTAATACCATAAAATTCAAGTTTTTTGAATAAAATATCAAAAGGTACAGAGTCAAAAGCTTTTGTAAGATCAAATAAAGTTAATGAAACAGTTTCTTTATTTTCAAATGCATTTAAAGATTTATTAATTACTCCTAAGACAGCTGCAGTTGTTGATTTACCCTCTCGAAATCCAAACTGTGAATTTGTCAATAAATTGTTATTTTCAAAATATTCATACATTTGTTTATGCATGAGACATTCAAAAATTTTGGAAAAGATTGGCACTATTGAAATAGGGCGATAAATACTAGGAAGATTTTTATCACCTTTTTTATATACTGGAATAATTTTAGAAATTTTGAGAAGGTCAGAGAAATAACCAATTTTCAAACATTTACTAATACAAAAAGCCAGAGGCTCACTTATAAAATGAATTATTTGTTTGATGCTATAATTTGAAAACCAGTAATGATCCATAGCTTTTGAATTTGAGAAATTAGCTACAACATTGTTAACCTCTTGCCATGATATCTCCCTCCACTGGAAATGTAATTGTCCTGTAGGGGGAGTCCCCAGCAACTCATGTGCAGGTGTGTTGGTGAGAGGGATTTCATTTTCTAGCTCATTAACACATTCAATAAAATAGTTATTGAGATTGTCAGC